GATGGTTGTCAGAGTGAGGTGACTTTCCCAGTCATCTTCGTGATTCAGGGAGTTCAGTCAGGATCGTTTGGTTTGACAGAAGAGGTAGTAAGGTGTAATTTCGAGGGGGAAATCTAATTTAAGTGGGGGGGGGGGTTGTAACACCCTATTTCAGACTGTTTCATAATTCGGGGACGTGACCTGAAGATCAGGTATCACAAGGCTTCAGACTTTGGTAATGACAGGTTTAGACCCATTTGGATGTGGGTAATATAGATTGTGTGATCCCAGAGTTCAGTTTGTGCTTTGGAGTCAAAGGTTGAAATGGAAAAGTAGTGTTTCAGACTTCTTTTATGTGTTATGGATTTTAGTTCAAGGTGTTTTAAGTCAAAAGTAATTAAACAGGGTTGTAGAGCTCCTCAATGCCTTTTCGTGGATATAAAGATCATCGAAATCATAGTTGAAACGAAGAAGTTATGACCGTTTGAAGTTTGGACGGTTTTGGGTTAAGCTGAGTACGTTGGGCGTACACGGGGGAGTACGCCGGGTGTACTAAGGCATCCTGAGTACACTGGCATACCAGGAGTACGCATGGCGTATGAGATCAGTTCCCAAACCCTATTTTTGTGGTTTGATCCCTATTTAAGCTCCTTAACTCCCCCAAAACCATTCAATTAATTCTCAACCTCCACCTCTCCAACACCCCTTCCATGAAACCCTAACCCTAGTTGAGCCTTGTGAGCTAAAAGAAGGTGTTTTTGAGTGATTTGGAGTATGCATGGTGCACCTTGGAGAAGAAGGAACTTCTTGGAGAAGTGTTGGTTGCCTTAGAGCTTGTAGATCTGGACTTTGTTCACCTTGATCTATCTTCAAGAGGTATAAAGTTTGAATCTTGATGATGCATTTGTTAGATCTAGCTAGTTTTGGATGTTATGAGCTTTTGGTCATTTTAGTGCATAAAGTTTATATCTTGAAATTTTTTGACCCTATTATGGGTAAAGTTGGAAACTTTATCCATCTAAACATCATTGTGATTCAAATATGAAGGTTGGAGACTTTGACTTAATGGATTAAGTTGAAAAAGATGCACTTTTGGTCCCTTTGATGCTTAAAGGCTAGATCTTGGTGGTTTGGACCATTCTAATGGATAAAGTTGGAAACTTTATCCATTATGGAGCTTTTAGGATCCATAAAAATGTGATCTTAATCCTTCTATACCTTGCATGAAAGTGTTGTGATGTCTTAATGGATTAATAAGTTAAGGTTTTGGCTTTTGGACCTTTTCTAGACATGGAAAGTCATAAATGTGGAAACTTTATGACTTAGAATGATGTTGCGGGGCTAGATTTAAGTGTTGGATGAAAGGACTTAAGATATTAAGCACTTAATGGAAAAGTGCCTTTTGGCCGAGTACGTCGGGCGTACTTGTATGGGGTCCCGATTCTGGATGGTGAGTACGCCATGCGTACGAGCTGAGTACGCTAGGCGTACTCAGCCTGAAGTTGACTTGTTGACTTTGACTTCCGTTGATCATTAACTTTTTGACCAAGTTTGACCTTGGGTCGAACTTGATGGTTTTGGGTTATTAATTAAGATTTTATATGGTTCTGGTATTAGTGGATTCGCGAGTTCGAGCAATGCAAAAAAGGGATCGTGTCGTAGTGTTTCAGGGTTCTTCGATTCAGGTGAGTCTTCTCTCGGTGCTCGTGAATCGAAGGCACCAATGCAAGCTCACTAAATATTGTATGTAAGATGCTAGTTGTCTTTGTGACTCTCGCATGTTTGTATGTGCCTGTGTGGTAGAATAGTTGTATTTGTGATGACCAGCTGGGTCTAGCCGTTATTATTATTATTGTGTTATGCTGTTTATATGTGACTAAGACTGCTGATAGTCTCTAGGGTTGTTGATAACCCACCGGACGTGTTGTTAGCCCACTGGGACTGCTAATAGTCCCTAGGGTTGCTGATAACCCATCGTTGTTTATTTGTGTTGTGCTGTGTGTGGTATTTTGGGAAACTCATTAAGCTTTGTGCTTACGATTTTGTGGTTTACATGTTTCAGGTTTTCTTATATTAAAGGAGGGGCACGGCTCGATTGCATCGCATCAATGGGAAACTTGTGTACTTGATAACTTTTAATGATAATATGGTAAATGTTTTAAGATATTACAATTGTGAATTAAATAAGTACTGACAGTTCTAATCGAAAAAAATTTGGTTGAAAATTGGGGCGTTACAAGTTGAAGGCGGGCAGGTTGGCTGCACCTTATCCCATATCGGCTGGAAAGGAGAACTAAGCATTCCTTAAAAGGGTGTGGATACATTCCCTATCACAACACATTTTAAAGACGTAAGGGCAATAGATCCCATCAGAACTTTGCAGTTAAGCGTGCCCGTGCGAGAGCAATCTAGGGATGGGTGACCCTTGGGAAGTTTTCGTGTCGGGACCCCAAAGCGGACAATATTATGATACGTGCTAGAGGGGGATGTTTACTGATTGTATCAGATCTAGGGCACGAGTCGATGTGTTCGACGAGGATGTGGTGTGGATACCTTCCCTGTCACAACACGTTTTAAAGCCGTGAGGGCTGTAGATCCCATAAGAAATCTGCAGTTAAGCGTGCCCGGGCGAGAGCAATCCAGGGATGGGTGGGAAGTTTTCGTGCCGGGAGCCCAAAACGGACAATATTGTGATATGTGCCATAGGGGGATGTTACACCCAAATTGCCCTTGGTCAAACTTATTCAACAGTCACAAGTCAAGTCAACACCTAGCCGAGTCACCCTACCGAGCTAACCCGATCGAGTCGACCCATCCGAGTACATTGGGCGTACTCCTTTGTACGCGGGGGCATACTCGGTGGTTGACCAGATTACGGGCCGCTGGCCGCATACGCATAACGTGCCACGTAGTACGCCCAACGTACGCACCATTTCAACCCTTTCCCCATTAAGAGCTTAATACTCTAAATCTTCACGTCCAAAGTCAAATCCAAAGCCAAAATACCCTCAAGAGTCATAAAGTTTCCAAATTTATGACTTTGCATTCCCATTAAGTGCTTAATACACAAAATCTTAACATCTTAATGCCTTAAGACCTTCTATAACATGCATGGAGCAAAACTAACCATCAAGACCACTTTTTTATGACTTAAGACCCATCCTAATGTCTGAAAGGATGACTTATTGGGTCAAGAACATGCCATGCTCAAGAATCACCATATTTGGGACAAAAAGTGTCTTAAAGAAAGAAATGTCTAGATCTACAAGATGGAGTGATCAAGTTGTAAACTTTATACCTCCTGGAGGTCGCTAACAATAAGATAATCTCAGATCCAAGATGCTTCCAAGCTCCAAGCTCTTCTCACAACCTTCTTCTTCTTCTTCAAGAACACCTCCAAAGCACTCCAATGGTCTCAAAATACACTCTTCTCACTTAGGGTTTGCTTGGGGTCGTTTATCACATAGGCAGACTGATGAAGTAATGAGAAACGAGGCTATAATGGTGTTTATATATGGACCAAACTCTAGGGTTTGCACTTTCTTCACATACGCCTTGCGTACGAGGTGTACGCCCAACGTACTAGGGCGCGCCTTAATACGCCTAGCGTACACAACGTACGCTCGGCGTACGAATCCTGGTCAAAATTACTATATTGCCACTTTGGACCAATCTAGCAACATTCCTCAAACCCAAGGGTCAAAAATCAATATTATTCAAACATAGGATTGAAATTGAAAGTACTTGACATCGGGATGTTACAAGTGAAAGTCAAATTCTTTCCGGATATGCTCACAAATCTCACAAACTCAGACCTATGGGTAAGTTATTTATTCATAAATCGATTTTAAAAATACCCACCTGAAACCCAAGATTTCGAGTTCACTTTCAGAGGTTGAAATCGATTTAGTGGTTTTTAAATTCGAGCATAGAAGAAGATGAATACATATACACACGATGAACACATATAAACATACCTTCGATCTGTTTGAACACGAACTCGAGGGTTTTCATAACGGGGTTCGAACCCAGATCTTGAAATTTCCTTTTAGAGATTTTTGTTTCTTCACCACAGAACAAGAACATATCAAAAACTGAACTCATTGAATACCATACTTCTCATGCAAATTGAAATCTTAAAACCTTCGTCGAAAAATCCATGTTTGGTTGGAGAAGACGACCGGAAATTCGTTGCAAAGAACACTAGAAACCAGCTAAACCCACAACAACAGGTCATAAGGACTAATTGTATACAAGATAACAAATTTAATGGATAAATATGAACGAAACAAAATTAATCACTAATGTGCTGTTTGATTATCTGAAGCAAAAATTCATGAAGTCTGCGGACCACCTCTGCAACCCTCTACAGTAGAAGAGGTGGACCAAACGGCTGCAGAGTGTAATAAGAAGCGTGTTTGTTTTTTTAACATCTGCATACTGCTGCAGATATTAAAAAATTAAAATAAACTAATTTTATACACCGAAAATAGTTTTTTAATTAAAATTTAATAATATATACATTTCGGCAACAATTAATGATATTTCAGTAAAAAATAATTATATTTCAACAAAAAATAAAGATATTTTAGTAAAAAATAATGATATTTCATTAATAAATTATCATTATTGAATATAAAAAAAAGAAAAAAAAAATTCAACAAGAATAACAAAATAAAACGAAAAAAAAAAGTGAAATAAAATTTCAACAACATATAATCAAAATTAAAATAAGAAAAAGAAGAAGAAGAAGAGGTTGGAAGAGGCAGTACAAGTGCTGCGCCAAACAGAGCACGCGCAGAGGTTTTTGACTCCGAAGACTTCTAAAAAACAAACAGCTGCGAGATGAAAAATGTTACGCGTGTGCGCGCCGCGCAGCAATAAGGGTTTGAAGATGTTTTTTTCCAAAAAAAAAAAAAAACACCTAAATATGTAAAAAAAAAAGGTACCGTTGTTTTCTTGTGGTTTGCGCCTTTGCGGAGATGTTGCTAGTTGATACTTGCTTAACCCAAATTTAAAACATTTGCATCGCAGCACCCTATTTGAACCTCGAAGCTTTCATCAATGGCGGAATAGTAGAAACCCTATCGCACCATATCGCAAATTAACAGGAAGTCTTCTACCTATGGAGGGAGGAGGAAGAAAAGACACATCTAATCCCGTTACAAAGTTCGCGGTGTATCAGAACCCAGCTCTCTCCGCTGCCCTAACCAAAAACAGTCTCCGCCCCTCCAAGTCTACTTTCCTCTTCATTCTCACTCTCGCATCCGCTTCTGCTTTCTCTCTGGTCTCCTTCGTCCTCAGGTACCATACATATCCCCAGTTCTATCTCCATCGTTCTCTCCACTATTTCAATAAGTTCCATGTCTCTTTCCTGCTTGCATTCGATATAACAAAGATTGTGTTTATAGTCTGTTTCTGGCATTTCGTATACGTGTATTTGAATGAATCATTTATTTGTTGGTATATCTGTTTTTTGTATATGCTTGTTTCTGTAGAGAATTGTTAGTACATCTAAATTGATGCGTACATTGTAATTTTAAAAGTTGGATTCAGGTGAACATTGTTTAAACAAATGGTTGTTTCTATCTATTGTAAAAAATGATCTGAATACTGAAACACTTACATCTTTGCTATGAGCGACTAACAAAATCATTTACTGTGTTCTATTCAAGGGAAAACGACATCGTTGACAGTTCCAAGCTCAGATATCTCACACAAGATGTTGCTCGTGAGTAATATCATTCATTTCGATTTCATGTTGTTAATTTCTTCCAAAATTTCCAAGTATTATCTCCTTAAATCTCTTCTGTTTGTCCACAGATATCTTTCTAAAAGTAATGCAAGCTGTCATGACTCTGGTTTTGATTGGATCCTTATTTGCCCTTCTCAAAGCCATCTCCTTATGGAAAACAAAACCTGCTACACCTTCATCTCCATCTAATCCCACCAAAGAGCAGCTAAATCTAACTAGCCAGCAACTAAAACTGATGGGAATCAAGCCACAGTTTGAGCAGACTGAATCAAAATCATCAAAAGATCCACCAAAATCTAAACCTAACACATCTCCTTTCAACACACTTGTCCCCCTTCACCAAACTCGTATAAACAATGACAAATCAACCACTAGTAGTGCAAACAAGATGCATTCTTTCAGCACTCCATCTAAACCACCAGTTTCACCATCAGTCTATCTCATCCCCTCACAATCACCAAACATGAAGACGCCACCTGGCATTGAACAACACGTTTCCACTCCATGGTCAAGCAAACGATCATCTTCCACCAGAGAAATATCAACAGAACAACAACTCGAAACATTCTTAGCAGATTTTGATGAAAAATTCTCCATGTCAGCTGGTAAAATGACCACCCCACCCCCCACAACAACCGGATTCAATATATGTAGCCCTAATTCCAATAGCACTACAAGAAGTACACCTTTAAGGCCTGTACGCATGTCCCCTGGTTCTCAAAAGTTCAGTACCCCACCAAAGAAAGGTGAAGGTGATCTCCCTCCTCCCATGTCCTTGGAAGAGTCAATTGACGCTTTTGCCCGCCTAGGCATCTACCCACAGATTGAAGAGTGGCGTGACCATTTAAGACAGTGGTTCTCTTCAGTTCTCTTAAACCCCCTCCTTGCAAAAATCGAAACCAGTCACATAAAAGTCATGGAGGCTGCTGCTAAAATCGGTATTACAATCACAGTTAGCAAAATTGGAAGTGATTCATCAACAGGAGCTACTGCAACTGTTTCAAATGAAAGAAACAATGAATGGCAGCCTGCATATACCCTTGATGAGGAAGGGCTTATTGGTCAATTGCGCACTACTCTTTTACAACAAATACAAAACACTTCAGTCCCTGTTATACAAGATTGTATTGATGCCATATCAGAACACCAAAAGCTTCTTGCTTTGATGAAAGGGGAATGGGCAAAGGGGTTGTTACCACAGACCAGTATACGGGCGGATTATACTGTACAAAGAATCCGAGGTATTTGAGTATTTCTTTTTCTTGAATCTTGATAGCTTTTTATAATCAAAATAATATTAAAAATAGATTCTTTATGTGTTGATATTTTGCAGAACTTGGTGTGGGAACATGTGTTAAGAACTATGAGTATATAACAAATGGGGAGAAGTTTAATAAGAAAAAATGGAGTGAAGTTCCTAGTGATTCTCATTTACTGTTGTATCTATTTTGTGCTTTTTTGGAACACCCGAAATGGATGCTTCATGTGGACCCCACATCACATGTGGGATCACAGTCTAGTAGAAACCCTTTATTTATAGGGGTACTTCCGTCAAAAGACCGGTTTCCTGAGAAGTATTTGGGAGTGATTTGTGGGGTGCCCTCTGTGCTTCATCCTGGAGGTTGTGTATTGGCTTTTGACAAAAAAAGCCCTCCAATTTTCGCCTTGTATTGGGATAAAAAGCCCCAGTTTTCTTTTGAGGTATGTGAGAAATAACTAGTAAGCAATGGTTTGAGTTTTGGAATGATTGTAAGAAGCTGAGTTTTGTGAGTTTGAATTGCAGGGAAGAACAGCACTTTGGGACTCTGTATTGGTTCTATGCCATAAGATTAAGAGTGATTATGGTGGGATTGTTAGAGGAATGCATCTGGGTTCTTCAGCTTTGGGGGTTCTTCAGATTCTTGATGATGAAAATAGTGAGTGAGATTATTGATAAGGAAAAAGGTTAAGTTAGAGGACTGGAGTTTGGTTCATTTTGTGTATAACATTTCTATCATATGTTTGGAAAATGGGAATTTTGATGTTTTTAAAGAGTAGTCGATGGAATTTTTTGTTAGAAAAGGCATTCATCAACATTTTAAGTGACTATTTGTGTTGGGAAAATGGCAATTAACATTTTGAACATTTATATGTATTGGGCCTGGGCCTCTTAAAAATCCTTGTTACATAGAGTCCGGTTATGGTTAAGAAAAGTACGACTGCTTATTAGGCTATGGGTCGGGTTATTAACCTGAGGAAGTATTTTTCATTGGGAAATTGAGTAACCATAATGTGATACCCTAATGTAACGTGTATTTGAAAAAAAAAAAAAAAAAAGTTTTTGGCAAAAATAGTCACTTCGTCAGGAATGAGCATTCCAGACTAAAAAAATATTTTTTCTGAAAAAAAGTATAGTTTGGAATTCCGGACCAGCAGGAGTTTCAAAAACAAGTTCGAAACTGATAAACAGTTTCCGGAATTTTAAAAAATAAATTACTTTTTATTTAAATCTAACAAAAAGTTAAACAAACATAATAAATATGAATTATATAATATATACGATATTATAGTATTAAACCAATCATTTGATAAAAAAATGTTGACATTAAACATTTCGGTCCGAAATAGAGAGATTTTTTTGGAAAAAACAAAAAAGAACTACGAAATTTGAAGATCAAATCCAAAATTATATTATTTATAAAGTTCATTTATAATGGTTAGTTTACTTAATATCACATTTTTTATTAGAAATAGTTAATAATTTATTAGCAAAATTGGTTTAGGGCAAATTTACATCATACAATTTTATATGAAAAGTTGTTTTTGTTTTTGTTTTGTTTTTGTTTTTTTTTTTGTAGAAAAATCATTGATAATTTGATTTTGTTTTACTTTGCCCATTATTTACTTATTAAAATCGATTACCACATTATAGGAATTCTAATTTGGGCTCTCCATCATCCAAGAAAGAAGAAATCAGCTCTCTCAAAGAAGGTATCGTTCCTTTTTCTTGGGTTTTTAGTTTGTTGCAAGAAATCCATAGACTTGTCCTTGTTCTTCAACATTAAAATTAGTGATCACAATACAATGAGCGAGAATGCAAACGGGCAACAAATTACGTCGCTAAACCTTTTTGTATGATAAAACCAATTATTTTGAAGACTATATCTATAGATTTTGGGGATATAACATTCTTATGCATGATTGTATTCTAATAAGAAGCTCCACCGTATCCGACCCGAAGAAACTAAACTTATCAAACGCGAATGAGATGAACAATATTGATTTTTCATGCACAATTTTTTATGTTTTGTGACTTTATATGTATCAATTTTTAAAATAGTCTATCTTTGTGGAATATGGTTTTATATGTTTGCTTTCGTTGCATGCTTTATATATGGTTTTATATGTTTGTGTTGGTTTCATGTTTTTATATTTCTAAAGTATCAATTGCAATTTGAAAATATTTATGAGCTTGGTTGTGTATCAAATAATCTTCCTATTCTAATAAAAGAATAGTTTTAATTTCCTTTTGACATGTCTCATCCTATTAGGCCTCCTAATTAATATATATTTTATTCTTTTTTTGTCATGTGTCACCCTATTAGGCATCCTAATTAATGAATGTCATTTATCAACCTATTAAATCTTCATTTTAAATTTTAAATTTCTCATTCTAATTATATTAAATTAATAACATTAGAATAAAAATAAAAATAAAATTAATACAAATTATAAGATGATATAGTTTCACTTATTTATTTAAATTAACGATTATAATTTTATATAACTAAAAAATATCTCTTAATTAATAATTTATTTAAAATAATTGATTAATAGTTTTGAGTTCTCACTATGAAAGTTTAATTAATTTTGTAACCGTGGTTTCCATGGGTTATAAACTAGTTTATTATATAATACATATGTAGTTTTAAATTGTATCTACAAAAGAATAAAATTGGCAAGTTTAAAATTAATAAATTAATGGGGTTAAAAAGGTTGGAAAATACTATTGTATATTCAAGTGTTTACATATTACAAGACCATATTTATTTAACAAAATAACATGTTTATTTGAGTAATAATTTTTTAATTTTATTTAATATATCAATTCTATGTGAATTAAAAAAAAGACAAACAATTTTAGTTGGGTCGACTCAGTCGGAGCTGAGTTGCCCTTTCGGAAATACATATTTCGTATGGATTGATTAAGAAGCATGATATTGTATCAAAAATATTATCCACCAAAATTATATTTTAAGTTCATTCTGGTCTCCTTATTTTATTATTTATAATTTATCAAGCGGATAATTTCTAAACGGCATCAAGCGCATGCGAGATGTAGGAATTCGCTTTTTCCAAGATGTTTAATTCGATGACAAAAGCAAATGTATATTGCAAATCCTATTTTATTGTGATAGTCGGTCCGTGCAAAATATGTGACCGTTACATAAGATGTCGTGCAAGAGGCATGGATTTTTTTTTATGTATATTAGCGATGAATTGGTGATAAATCAGTGATAATTTTTGTTTTGATTAATTTTATAATAATTATCAATTTATCAATGGTTTTTGTTTACATAAAAAATTATATTTAAGAGTCCATTTCTATTTTTCACACAAGTCCTTTAAAATCAACTAACCAACCCTGTTTATTGTATGATATACTTATAACAATAAAAATAACACATTGATATTTACTTTGTCTATAAATATGGTATGTTTTAATAAAATTTTAATAAAAAATAGAGTAATTCATTGATGCTGTATGGACAAACATGAAGATAATACTCAAAATTCTTTGATCTTGCAAAATGTAGAAGATTGATAGACTTGAGGAAACTTCAATTCTATTAATTCTAAAAAAAACTATCCTTCAAAAAAACAACGCACGAGCCCTTAAATTGTAAAACTCTAGCCCTCTATAAAAGAAAAAAGAGTAAATTACAAGAATGGTCCCTATGGTTTAAGGTAATTTGCGCGTTTTTGGTCCCTAACTTATTTTCTTAACTCGGAAGGTCCCTACTGTTAGTTTTTGTTACACGCTTGGTCCCTGTCTTACCTAAAAAGACTATTTTGCCCTTGATTTTTTAATTTATTTAAATAAACACAGCTCCAACCCTACCCCCTCACCTTACATTACCCACCCCACTATTTTTCCCTATTTAAATAATAGTTATTTAAGGTAAGACAAGGACCAAGTGCGTAACTAAAACACACAGTAGGGACCAAGCGCATAATAAAAACAAACAGTAGGGATCTTACGAGTTAAAAAAATAAGTTAGGGACCAAACGCGCAAATTACCCTAAACCATAGGGACCATTCGTGTAATTTACTCAAGAAAAAATTACGAAAATGTCTAGTACCTAAAATAACCAAAAAAAATCTTGAAAAAACTAATAAATCGTGGATTTGATACTGAAAAAATTCAACCACTTGGGTTGTGGTGACTTGGTAAGGCATGTGGAAGATATGGTGGATAACCTATTGACCCATGTTTAAATCCTGGCACCACTCAGCCTTTGTGGCCATGGAGGTTCGCCTGTAGTGACTCCAGGGCATGAGGCAAAGCCTCATGTTTGCAGCGGGGGATTAGTCGGTGCGCGAAAGCTGGCCCGAAAACCCTCGTTAGGGAAGTTCCCTTTCCCAAAAAAAAAGATGAAAAAATTCGTCTAATATTTTGATGGGCTCATGGCGGCGAAGTCTTGAGTTTTTCTCAGAATGTCGTTTTCTTCCTGAAAACTTTACTCTTGCGTCTCAATCTGACATTGTTGAATTCTTTAGATGTTCTAATATCTACATATAATTTAACTTATTTGTGTTGCATCATTCACTGTCTTAACGATTATATTTGGAACACACATATCCCTTTAAAAAAACCTTCTAATCACCATTTATCAAGAAATCACCATTTTTTTAATTCAAAATCATGAAGAGATCTCGACATGATCATTTTAATGAATAACTTCAATGCAAAAGTTACAAAAGTTGCAAAAATCCTTCACATACAAGTACAACTACTCGATTGGTTGCGTTGGCAAAACATGATCGAGAAAATTAAGTGATAAGGAGCATATAATTGGGGATGATAAACAGAAATCGATGAATCGAAAGAATTTTTTTTTTCTAGTTGGTGTGCTTGAAAAGGAAAAATATTTTCTAGTTGAGCTAGAAGCACAAGATTTCTTCGATCGGATTTTGGAATGAGGTGGTTGGAATCAATTTTGTTGTAAAATGAATGAAAGAAAGAAAAAAAGAGAAGATGATTTGAGATTGAAGGTTAAAATTAGTTTGTATTTATAGAGTTGTAAATAGTTAAAAAATATATATATTTAAAAATTTGACATTTAAAAAAAATAAAAAACAAAAGATTTGCAGTCGTTGGAGAAGGAAAGAGATGAAAGAAAGTGTGGTGTATCTTAATCGTGCGGTTCTTCATTGCGGCTACACCTCACCGGCGGTACAATGTTCCCATGTGCAACGAAATGGCCAAATCCCCCACGCACCATAGGGTAAGGTCAAACCCTCCGGTTTAAAATTTGACTGACAGAAACTTATTATTATTATTTCAAATAGATTAAAAATAATCAAGTTTGAAAAAACGGGTAATGAGTAGTTGTAAGAATGTCAAATTATATAATTATCCTTACCTCGACATAACCTTCCCATCAATGTACTTTGTTTTATATGGCGAGTAAACCAGTGTCTAATACCAACTTGAGTTGAACTAAAAAAAAAAGAATATTTAATGGAGATCCGGTGTGCACCTACTGTTTAACTGAAGAGGAGACGGTTGAGCATAATAGCATATTACCATTCACTGTCCATTTGCAAAACGGTATGTTAGATGGTGTGATATATCCACACCCCAGTTTGCCTCGTTATTAGAAAACTTGGGGCAATTGCAAGAAAAAGAAATATACCTTCACCAAGTGGATATGGAAAGCCATGGGTGATGAAATGTTTAAGAATCTTCGTGTCTCTCCAACAAAAGTGGCGGACAACATTACGTCCCAGGTTTTTACATGGATAAAGCATAAAAAGAAAATGTGTAAGTATAAGTGGGTTGAATGGATTGTTTTCCCTTTTATTTGATTGTAGAAATTGTTGTACTCTGTTTCTCCCGCTCTTCTAGTTCCTTGCTAGATGGGTGGTGGGGTTTTATTTTAATATATCGTTCAAAAAAAAAAAAAATACATAACCTTCCCGTAACTTATCAAGAGACGATACAGGGCAGCATCTTTAAGCCGGGGTGCAGCCCATCCAGTATTGCCTGTACATATGAGATACCAAGAAACCTCATTACATGAATAAACCCCACAACAAGTTTATATATTAATAGCTTATCATGAAAATATTAATAAAACTATAAATGACATCATGTGCCTATTAAGTATTAACTCCATAACTAGGACATGGAGCCTCATATGAACTGGGGTGGGGTTACGATTCAACGAATACCAGCTGCCTTAGTCTATTTTGGATATAGAAGTTTGAATATTTAGCTAAGAGATATTATCATTATTATGTGAATATGACAAAAGTGTTAAGTTTGTAACAAAGTCTAAGTTAATCCTTAATTCCAAAAAATCTAAGGTTTGAACAAAAAGATTTAAGTTCATATACTCATATGATGAATAATGATGTAATGATGTTCGCATCAATTACATAACTTTCTTCCAATTTTAACAAACTAATAAATGTAAATCATCAATGATAATTATGATAATTGTCATTCTCTCCATTCAATTGTTATTTCCAAATAGTATATTTAGGGGTTGTTTTTCTTTTCTTCAACAAGAGAGTATGGTTTTTTATACGCAACCTTTAAACTACCGGGTCCGATTCTCTTTACCCGTTTTAGACATATAGTGATACACGATACACAAACTAGTTTAATACATACCGGTTACAGTTTCGGTTCTTGACCGAGTTTACGGGTTTGAAGCTTATCCCTACATTTTAGTAACTAGTTGTGTTAGAAAAATGGTAATTTAATGATTATTTGTGGTGGGAGTAAAGGTGCTTAATGGTTTGGGACTTTGCTTTGTGTGTATCTTGTTAAAAAGTCTATTTATACAGAATTCGATTATAGTTGAGAAAACCTCTGATTAGTTATATCATTTTCCAACAGCGCCAAAAGGCAAAAAATGTATTGGTTTAATTGTTTGTTTGAACTTTGAATTGAAAAGGTCTTGGTCAACTTTTCTATTCTAACATTTACATGTAGCTTATGAGTTTGATCGACTCTGTGACAATATTATTGTATAGTCAAGTGTTTACAACTGGTATTTATTTAAAAATAACATGTTTATTTTAATAATATATTTTATCAATATTTAAAAGAATAAGTATTTATGTAACTAGAAAAGGTTTTGTTCTTTCGCACATACAAATTCCATATAGGTTCTTTATTAAGAAGCGCGATGATGCTATTACTCACAAAATTAACAAACATTTCAACCGTTTTGGCACTATTGAGTTTATCCTGCTCTCATTATTTTATTATTTGTCATATTGTCAAGCGGATGATAGTCATGATACTTGGCCTTTGCTTTTTCCACCATATTTAATTACATGACAAAAATCAATGTATATTATCTTATCCTAATTAATTGTATAATATACCACTAAACAATAAAATATCATTTTTTTAATATTTTATTTTGTTAGATATATAATATTTTTTTAATAAAAATATGATAAAAAATAGCGATTTCTCATCCTTGGTTTATTGCAAGTTGTTTTCAATAACTAAACTGACGATCCCATTATTGGTGTTAATTTTGAAGCTAACAGAATTGGAGTTTTTTTAGTACAATTACAAAAAGAGAGCTAGTAAATTATATAGGGGTCGTCTATGTAGGTTGTCAATGATAAAGACCAACCAAAAAAGCTATGTTTAGCAAAAGGGATTTTCTAATATGTGTCCTAAGGGCACATATAAAAAGTATTAATTATAAAAAATATTATCATAATTAAATGTGAAATGCATTAATTATGGAGATTATTAATGAATTTTATATTTATTATGGTAATATTTATTATAATTAATGTATTTAACATTTAATTATGATAATAATTATGATTAATTAATACTTCTTATATGTGCCTTTAGGGCACATATTAAAAAATTCCTTAGCAAAATGCATCTAATTTATAAACTAACTTATTTACTTTTTTTTATCTATCCTCTTTCTCCTTATCCATACATTTTGTTTTTAAAAAAATATATCACGTTTTGTTTGTCTGTATAATTAAAAAATCTTTAAACTTTTTATCCTTTTTTTTATATAATTAAAAAATCTTTAAATCTTTGTTGAACATCGAATTTTAAAAATATTTAGTTTATATTTATGATGTTTTATAAAAAAATAAAAATTGTCTTAAAGATATTAATTTTTTTATCCTTTTCTGTATAGTTAAAAAATCTTTAAATTTTTGTTGAACATCGAATTTAAAAAATCTTTAGTTTATATTTATGACGTTTCTAATTTAAAAAAAAAACATCAAACATTTTTTTAAAATTCGTCGTTTGAAACAAGAATAAGTTTTAAAAATAGAGTTTTGGAATAAATACAAACAAACAAAACTTAAAGATATGTATTTCGACCAAAACGTTAAAGATTAAAAAAAATATTCGAACAAAATGTCAAAAAATATAAAAGAACAAAATGTCAAACAATTTTTTTATGATTTGTTTCAAATTTGTTATTTAATGTATTTTTTTTTACATTTTGTCCGTTTTCGTGTTATACATAAACTAATTTGAAACGTGTTTCAACTTTCAAGGTACACAAAAGCTAATCCGAATCCGTAAAAGAAAAAGTTTATATTGTTATATATTAAACAACAGAAAAGTGTATTCAAATAAAACATAAATATAAACTAATAAAACATCAGAAAATAATAAACAACATATTTAAAAAAACGTTAAACATTTTTTAAACGTCCGTTAAAAAAATCTAACCTATATAAAAATCATTAAATTTTAAAATATGTACATATTTAATTTTTATAATAGTTTTTTAATAGATTACATAATAAAATTTATAATAGTTGTTTTTTTTTAAATAAATAATAAGATTTACAATAGTTCTTTTAATAGATTATATATATATATATATATATATATATATATATATATATATATATATATATATATAAAAGAAAGTATGTAATTATAACTTAATTAAAAATAGTAATGATTAGTAAAAGTATGTAATCATTAACTTAATTAATAAAACAATGATTAGGGTATGAAGTTGTTTTTTCTTTTTTGCTAATTTGTCATTTTATATATTTTTATAAAAGTATATGACTTCAATATACCACACAGTACACTTGTTGTCTAAACTTTAAAGTTTTTGTTTATTAGAACCACTAGGTTATAATCCGTGTAATAAACAGTTGATGAATTAAAATAACATAGATAATAATTGTAACAAAAATATTTTAAACAAATTTATAAAATGATGTTTATAAAAATGTAAAAAAAGGAAAACAAAATGAATGGAATAGGAGATTATTTATAACTGATTATTTCTTTCTATTAAGGATCAAATAATTGATTACCAAATATTTTGAATTTCAAAATCTATATTAATAATGCTAATTTTAAGGGATTTAGAAGAATCTAAATTTAAAGGTAAAATCATAGAAAAAACATGTGCCATTTTTAAAGAGTAGAAGAAGGAAAATTAAAAATTATAAGAAAATAATAAATGACACACAAACTATTCTTTTATTAGTATAGAAAGATAAATAATATTTGATATAAAATAACACAAATTTCTCTTATAATATCAAATCATTTTTTATATGTTTTTTTATTCCATCTTATATTTTTCACATAGCCTTTACAATTACCTATTTCTATTAATTTGTTTGTAAAGATAGTCTTAGGTGTTGTTTGTTTTTTCTGAGGCAAAATGTCTGCAGTCTGCGGATCACATCTGTAGACATCTGCAGCAGAAAAGGTGGACCAAACGTCTGCAGTCTGAAAAAAAGAAGATTGCTTGTTTTTTTAATATCTGCAGGCTACTAAAATAAACTAAAATCCAAATAAACTTATTTTTTAAACTACAAAGTGATTTTTTAATATATTTATGACTTTGTTATAAATAATTAACAAATCTAAATCAGCTTTTAGTATTATTGTATAAAAAGTGAAAATAAAAATGGTACAAATTAACGTATATATTTGAAAAAAACCAACAATTTTGGTCGTAAAGTTATGCCTAAACATTGTATTTAGGAATCAAAGAATTTGATATATAAATGAATGTAAATAAACTTCAATTTATTCAATTAAATCAATTAAAAACGTGTCATAAATATTTTTTCTAAGAAATTGACGATGCTTTATTAAATAATGTTTTATAAAATTTGGTAAAAAAAATATAAGAATATATATATATATATATATATATATATATATATATATATATATATACTAAAAATATCATGTTTGTGTCGTCGAACTTTTTTTTTTAAGTATTGTAACTTTTTTTTTTCAAATTGTTTATCACTAATAAAGTTTGAAAAAATATAAATTCAAAAAACTAAAACAAAAAAATAAAGTATATGTGTTTTTTTAGGTTAGAAGACTTTGGTCCACATTTGCGCCAAGAAGAGGGCGTGCAAACATTTTTAGGTCTGTAATCTTTAAAAAAACAAACAGTCTGCGAAGGCTAATGTCTGCGCGTGGTCTGCGCCGCACAGACAGAAAAGGACAAGAAGATCTGCGGACAAAAAACAAACACCACCTTAGTGTTTCCAATGTGTATCTAGGTGGACATGACATTTAATATAGTTGGTTGGGACTCTTGAAAAGTGGATCAACAATTCAACATCGACACTAAACACATGTAATAATTAAGATATGCTTGGATTGTTGGTGGGATGGGACAATAACACAACTACACAAGCCACAAGTTCGGGTTTGCCAATCAGGACTCCAAATCCCGAAGATTGGACAAGGTCTTATCCAGTATTTCCCCAAGCTGTGTAACTTACGTGGCTTCGGATCAGAAATCCTTACATGTGATGAGACTGTATCCAAGTCATCGACTTCATCTGTATATATATACTTTATACAATTTATACAATTATAACATAAACAATACTTTTAAAATTCCGATAATTATTTTATTCTTTTTCCGGATGAAGGTAGAGAAGGTTATTACGTAATGTATCTGTTAGGTAGAAGTAGAAGTCATTGGTGGTGGCTTTATCCCTTCCCCCTCAGCCCTCACTCGCACACATGGCAATGAAAATATGAAACCCAAAAATGACCGCTACTCTCTTCGTTTTTCCCGTCACGAAATAGTTTTACAGGGCCCACTCCGTCAAATTCATGAGCCATGCCTGACTTCCGGCTAGGTGTCGATTCTATTTAATCCCTCCCGCCTCATCTCTTCGACTATTCTCTGCACTTTACTTCCATAATGATGATGCACAGACTGGTGAGATTAAGATCATTTGCAAAACCTTCCTCTCAACATCGAGGCGGAGTTGCGGCGTTATTTTCAACTGCTATGCTGTTCGATGATACTCAAATACAGGTTCCCTACGCTAAGCCCTATATTTTATTTTTTTAGGATTAATGCTGGATTTTTTCTGTTATCTATGCTGCTGCTTTAGATTGCGTGTAGTTGGCTCACTCACTCTCTCGTTCCCTACTTATGCTAGTTCAAATGCCGGACTGTTTCGCATCATTGGCATGGGGATTTAAGTCTCCGGTTTTAATAACTGTTACAACTGAATGCGTTTGCTTCGTGCAATAACTAATCGATTTTCCAATCAAAACACTGGTATATTTGGGAATTAGGAGTAAGGGTTTTTGGTATTTGGTATTTGGTAATGGTTATTGGTCAGAATCGATTTGTTTAGGCATATGCTTTTTTGAGTAATTTCCGCATTTTAGGCTTTTAGCAAGTAGTTCGTTTGCTAGGTCTTCCATTTTTTCATATAGCTGTAACTTGACTGCTTGAGGGGTCAGATTTGCAGAAATTTTTGGATACAATTGATGTGATACAAAATAGACAAATCAAAGCATCAACATCAACATCCCGAGTATTATTTATTGATTTTTTTTTACTTAACCCCTTATTGTAGGGTTCATGGAGTTTTAAAGGATACTGACTTTATTGTTGTTTAATCTCAATATCTTTACACTTTGCCTCCTTCAACTACCATTTCTTACTTGTAAGGGTAAACTTGATTCTTTTCTGACTATATATTGCAATGATGGCAGTTCAAAGAAAGTGTTGCACAATTTGCCCAAGAACATATTGCTCCTCATGCGTCAAAAATAGACAAAACAAATAATTTCCCACAGGTTTGAAAACAAATCTTGTATTGGTTTTATATATTTTATACAAGTATTCTAATTTCTGATCAAAATTGACTCTGTTTGATGTTATGTTCCAGGAAGTTAACTTATGGAAACTAATGGGGGACTTCAATCTTCATGGAATTACTGCTCCAGGTAGACCTGCACCTTCTACTTCTCTTCATTTCTCGTTAATTCTCATTATTTTTTATATAAAACAGTTGCAAAATTAATCTTGTTTTTGTAGTTGAATATGGAGGATTAGGTTTAGGTTATTTATATCACTGCATTGCTTTGGAGGAGATTAGTCGTGCATCAGGATCAGTTGGATTATCCTTTGGTGCCCATTCTAATCTTTGTATTAATCAATTGGTAACACCAAAAAACTCTACACTTGTAAATCTTTTAAAACACTTCACACATGTTTAACATAACAAGTTTGTTAATCTTGTAGGTGAGAAACGGAAATGCTGCACAAAAGGAGAAATATTTACCCAAGGTTTTATTTTATAAAAAAAAAACTAATTGTCCAGTGAATGTCAATCTTGTTTTATGTATGTTCTTTCATGAATCCATTCCAACTTCTTTCTTTCTTGTAGTTAATTAGTGGGGATCATGTTGGAGCTCTTGCAATGAGTGAACCTAATGGTACTTTTTATAAATTTTCAATTTTGGATTATCTTTAAGTCTCTACTTGTGAATTAATTATATCTTTTTTCTTTTTTGTAATATCAAAACAGCTGGTTCAGATGTTGTTGGAATGAAATGTAAAGCTGAACGTGTTGATGGTGGTTATGTTTTAAATGGGAACAAGATGTGGTGCACCAATGGTCCAACTGCTCAAACTCTGGTAATCTGATCTTAACTTTTAAAATAAAATATCTAGAAATTTGAGTATATTTTAAAGATATTGACTTTGTTTATATATATTTGTTGACTTATTACTCGGTCAACATTAGGTGGTTTATGCTAAAACAGATGTAGCTGCTCGTTCAAAAGGGATAACAGCATTTATTATTGAGAAAGGAATGCCTGGGTACATTTTCTGTTCATCTAGATGACTTTAAGGGCAAAATTGTCTTAAATTTTTTGTTTATATATTTGTTGACTTATTACAGGTTTAGTACTGCTCAAAAGTTGGACAAACTTGGAATGCGAGGAAGTGATACGTATGTCCATGTTTTATTTATTTCATTAAATAATAAATAACCATATACTTCTCTAATAACAAAAAAAATAAAAAACACATAATCTAACTATCTGATTCTTACAAATATCAGATGCGAGCTTGTTTTTGATAACTGCTTTGTTCCTAACGAAAATGTTCTTGGTGAAGAGGGAAAAGGTAAAAAATTTAGTTTTTCAGCTCTTATCACATCCCCCCCAAAAAAAAAATCCTAAAAATTTGATGATGTATTGATTTCAGGAGTTTATGTGTTGATGTCGGGGTTAGATTTAGAGAGACTTGTACTCTCGGGTGGACCAATTGGGATCATGCAAGCATGTCTTGATGTTGTTCTTCCGTATGTTCGCCAAAGAGAACAATTTGGACGCCCAATTGGAGAGTTTCAATTAATGGAGGGGAAAATTGCAGATATGTATACTTCTCTCCAGTCTTCAAGGTCAAAATCGTCATTTCCATTTCTAAATCCTAATTAGTATTCCACAACTCTTCACCACTTACTTTTTACTAACAACATCTATCTTTTAACAGATCGTATACGTATTCTGTTGCTAGACAATGTGACAATGGAATACTTGTTCCAAAGGTACATTTTCTATGTTCCTACATTTTCGTACTTTATGGGTGGTACATTGTGCATTAGGAATTGTACGTATCTGTTTTTACAGGATTGTGCGGGTGTTATACTGCTTGCTGCTGAACGAGCTACACAGGTTGCACTTCAGGTGAGGGAAATTTGTGAAATTGTGATTTATTTAAGACAAAACTTCAAAAATGGTCCCTGTGGTTTCCGAAAATATCAAGTTTAGTCCCTAAGTTCAAAAAACCTCACAGATGGTCCCTGTGGTTTTAAAACTTTTAACAAATGGTCCTTTTCTCTAACTCCGTTAGCTTTTGGTCGTTAAGTAAGGGGTATTTTTGTCATTTCACTACCCAGGGACCATTTATGAGGTTTTGTATTACTTTTTTTAAAATAAATAGATAAATAAATAAAATTTAATATGCAAGGGTCCCACCCCTCTCTCTCTCTCTCTCTCTCTCTAGGTTTGTTCTTCAAAACTCAAGAACACACATAGTTATGAAAAAAACACACACTTTAACTTTTATGGCTTTGTTCTTCAAAATACATACACATACACACACTCAATAACACATAGACATGATCTCTTATAAACACATACACACTCAAGAATACTCCTTGAAATCGTTTCGGAACTGAAAATCACACACAAAATATGGGTTTGTTCTTGAGTTCCAGAAACAAAAATCGAAATCATTCAATTCGTTCTTAGAGAACTGAATGCGCGTTGAAGAACAAAATATGTTTGAATCAATGATTATATCCAAAAACACACTCAAATCGGTGCAATCAACTTTCCTTCTCAAATGGACCAGGGGCGGATCTCAAGTCCGGTTTACCCACACAAATGGAGCAGCGAATCTACCAACACCCCCACTACCATCACTGCTTCTTCATCTCCGGTCATGTCTCAGCTTCAGGCTCAGGTCATGACTTCTCGAGCAACTAACATTGACGCCGACAACAGCTTCAAGCTCAGGTCATGACTTCTCGAGCAACTGACATTGACGCCGACAACGATGACCTTGACTTCCGATTTGCTCATCCCTCTATAAACAGGAGGCCTCCCGTTAATGCTTACATCATCGCACATAAACAACTTTACCCTTCAAAATAAGAACCGATGCCTGAACCTCTCTTGAAAAACGATGTTAATTTCAGGAAATTGAAAGGTTAGAACAATCTTGGATGTCCGATTTAACTTGCTATGAACAAACAAAACAAAGATCAAAAACCAAAAAACCAAGATCTGAAACCAAAGTGATGACTGTGTGCGAAACCTGCAACTCCGCCTCTCCTTCATCATTTCTGAAACCTGCAACTCAACCCCCCATCATTTTGGATTTCTGTGTATGCGATTTCACAGTCTCTACCGCCGTTTCATCAGGCTTGTTTAGGATTATTTTTTCTTCGATTTTCGTTATAAATCAAGAACCATAAGTATATATTTGACTTTGGATTTGGTTTCCTTTTGATATGGTGCTATGGTGCAGGTGTTGATGATTGTGGTTATAGGATCTGATTAGTGCTTCCTTTTCTAATTTGGATTTTGATAGATTTTGTGATTTAGGGTAAGGGTAAATAATGAAGGAGATAGTAGGGCTGAAGAGAGAGAGAGACCCTTGCATATTAAATTTTATTTATTTATTTATTTATTTTAAAAAAAGATATACAAAACCTCATAAATGGTCCCTGGGTAGTGAAATGACAAAAATACCCCTTACTTAATGGCTAAATGGTAACGGAGTGAGCCGGAAGGACCAAATGTTAAAAGTTTTGAAACCACATGGACGATCTGTGAGGTTTTTTGAACTTAAGGATTAAACTTGATATTTTCGGAAACCACAGGGACCATTTTTGAAGTTTTGTCTTTATTTTAATGATTTTGTTTGTAAAATTTTATTTTTGTTTTTTTTGGCAGGCGATTCAGTGTTTGGGTGGGAATGGGTATGTGAATGAGTATCCGACTGGTCGACTTCTACGGGATGCTAAATTATATGAGATTGGTGCGGGAACGAGTGAGATTAGAAGAATTATTGTTGGACGTGAGCTCTTTAAGGAACAATGATAAATCAATATTTTTTCTTTTCTTATTTATTTAATCGTCACATGTATAACTTTTTTAATGCATAGAGTGTCTAATTCATTACATTACAAAAATAAAAACCATAAATCATTGATCGGAATTTGCAGCCATACTTTATTATAGGACCAAATTATTTAACACGTTATGGGTTAGATGATTATTTATGTGATGATATTTCACTTTTTATATATGCACCGAAAAAGTGCTGTACAATTTTTATTTTGTCTAAAGAACTACCTACTTTATTACATAAAAGAAAAAAAAAAGACATAACGCTTATATTTTTCTTTAATGGCGAAAATTATATGACTAAACAAAAAGGCCAAAATAAACCCAACAACGTCAGCCACAAAAGATGGGAAATAGGACCAATTCTATTCTATTCTAAATGCCAAGGCCCAACAACGAATGACTAGACTTTTAATCACATATGATCAACATGTCCGCATCTAGGCATGCACAAAAAAACCGGTTCAAGATCTGAACCGGTCAAAGAACCGGTAAACCGGTTTACGCTGAACCGGTCCACAGTGAACCGAACCGGTTTGAGAACCGAACCACCGGTTTACACCCGTTCGAGATTTTAGTCGTTGAAACCGGTTTAGAACCGGTTTATATCGTGTGAACCGGTTTGGAACCGGTATGGAACCGAACCGAACCGGTTTAGAACCGATTGAACCGGTTTAGAACCGGTGTAACCGGTTTAGATAGGTTCGACTAATTTTTTGAGTGAACCGGTTTGAACCGAACCGGTTTGAGGCCTGAACCAGTTTTGCTTGGCTAGGGAGTGAACCGAACCGGTTTAAAGAACCGGTTCGGTTTGAAAAATGAACCGGTTTGTGCATGCCTATCCGCATCTAATTAAATTTTATTATTCGGCATGTCATTTTGATATTTATATATAATTAAACTATATACTCAAGTTTTAAATTTCATTGTTTTCGTTTGTATAATCTCTCTCTCTCTCTCTCTCTCTCTCTCTCTCTCATACCCAGCACCACGACCTGCCTCCACCACCCCACCCATCACCCACCAAAAGCACCACCACTACTCACCACCACCCACCAACATTACCAACACCCGCCACTACCACCAACCACCACCCACCAACACACCTCCCGCCTCCACAACCCATCACCACCACCCACCAAAACCACCACCATCCACCAACCACCACCACCATCCACCAACCACCACCACCACCCACCACCCACCACCTTCACCACCTACCACCACTACCTGCCACCTTCACCACCCACCACCACTACCACCACCATCACCCCCACCACCATTACCACCACCACCACCCACACCACGACTAACCCACTACCACTATCCGACACCTACACCTTCACCACCACCACCCATCACCACCACCCGTCATCACAATCACCACCACCCACCACCCGCCACTACCAACCACCACCCACCCACTTCATCACCACCTACCACCATCACTACCCACCACCACCCACAACCACCGCAAACAAACTATCACCCACGACCCCCATCACCTACCACCCATCACCACCCTGCCCTAACTCCACCACCACCACCACCCACCATGCATCTCCACCGCACGACCACCACCCATCACCACTACCCACTTCTACCACTCATCACCACCACCCACCACCAACACCCCACCTATCACCTACCAAAACCACAATCACCACCAACCACCACCACCCACAACCACCAACCACCATCACTGATCACTCATACCTACAAATCCATGTATATCATATGTGATTAAATACATTAGTTGCATGTGATTATATGTATTTAATCACATTTGATTTATATAGAAAATATTCATTTTGCGTTTTTGATTCAATAGTTGGTCTCGTATATTTAATCACATGTGGTTATATGTGTTTAATCACATATGATTTATTAAAATGAAGAACACGAAAATGAATCTTGTCTTTATAAATCATATGTGATTAGATACATATAATCACATATGATTATATGTATCCAATCACATGTGATTTAAGTATTTAATCACATATGATTAATGTGGACAAAGATTTGTTTTCACGTTCTTGATTCAACAGTCATTCCCGTGTATATAATTACATGTGATTATATACATATTTCATCACATATGATTTATATTGACAAAATTCGTTTTTGTCCATATAAATCATATGTGATTAGATACATATAATCACATGTGATTATATACACGAGAACAATTATTGAATCGAGAAAGTGAAAATGGTTTTTGTCCAAATAAATCATATGTGATTAGATACATATAATCACATGTGATTACATGTATTTAACCACATATGATTTATGTGGACAATATTCATTTTGTTATTTTCAATTCAATAATTAGTCTCATTTCTTTATTCACATATGATTATATGTATTTAATTGCATATGATATATGTGGAAAATATTTGTTTTCGTGTTCTTAATTTAATAGTTGTTCTCGTATATATAATCATATGTGATTATATGTATCTAATCAATCTAATCAAATAATATTTTTATAGACAAGATTTGGTTTTGTCCATATAAATCATGTGTTTAGATACATATAATCATATGTGCTTAAATATATTTAATCACATATAATTGAAGTTGCTAATGAACAACTATTGATTTTGTCAAACGTTATCATATTTTCACTAACTTAACAATATAAAGAACAAGTAATACTATTAAAAAAAATTACAAAATTAAAAAATGATAGGCCATATTAATTATACAAGAGTTTATTGTTGTTTTACCTCATTTATGTCCACGAATTCAAATCAGTTCTTTTTATAATACATATTAATATTACTTTCACAATAAAATCAACAATAGAAAATTTCATATCTTTAAATAGCTTTGATGTAAAAATATATAATACATACATACAAACCCAAACTTTTTTTTCCATGATCTTATAGCCGATTGTATTTATGTTGATAAATTTAAACCTACAACTAAACCCATAAAATAATTCAATCTTAATATTAAAAGAGACTACCAATACATGAGAGGCCCAGTTATATATTTAACCTAATGATGATGTCAAAATAGTAAAAAAGATACCTATTAACATGTATTGTCGTTTCTCACTTGTGTTGGCTTCTTCTCTGACGACGACTTTCACATATCACGTGTTTCCTCTATGTACTGATTGCATCATCTTTTACATTGTATTTTTCTCATCGACTAATCAAGAGTTCAACATACATGAATGAACTCACAAACAAAATAGTTTGATGATCCAGTTTGCGGTGGCCGCCGACGCTTTCTTTTCATAAGGAACTCCCATCTCCGGTGATACGAAAATAAGTGAGAGTGATTTAATACATGGATTAATTACCTTTCTAGTCCAAACAACTTCTTCGATTCCAAATTAACTTGCTTAAATTCGTTTTCACCACAACCAGTTTTCAAGAGTCATCAGTAAGTAGCTGAAAATATTCACCGACAAAGAGTGTTTGAGATACAGGTCGACGGTGGCCAGTGAAAGTAGATCAGAAAACCTTTATATCGAAATGACGATGGTTGATGAAACTAGATTGGAAACTAGATCTGGTTTCCTTGATCTTTAGATCCGTAACCGATGAAACCAGATCCGGTGACCGATAGAAAACGAGATCAGAAAGGATATTAGAAGGAGGTGATTTCCGATAGTTTCGACGAGTTGCTTTTCTGCCTGAGGAATATGAGAGGTGCAAGGAGTTGGTTCAGGAACATGATAGATGACCAGAGGTGGTTTGGGGCATCAATTCAGGAAGATGAGAGAAGGTTGTTTCTGACGAGCGGAGGATGTTTCCGACAAGTGAATGAGTGCGGACAAAGGAAGGATGTGAAACCAGATCTGCGGAGAGCGGATAAATAGCGTTCCGGTGGTGGTATGGTCGTTCTGGTGGTGGTCCGGTCGATCCTCCGACGGTCCGTTAGTGACGGTCCTATAGTCTTGATGGAACCGTTTCAAGTGACATAATGAACGGTTGAAAATTGTTCTCGAATGTTCTCAAAATAAAAAATATTCTCATTTTAATATATATATATATATATATATATATATATATATATATATATATATATATATATTAGGTGTGATACCCATTTATTATTTATTTAAAAGAAAAATAAAATATGCAATAAAATATGAAATTCTAAACATTTTAAAAGTTTGAATTTATAAGAAAAGTGAAAAAATATTGAATTATTAAAATTAAAATGTTTTTATCTTTTTAAATTTAAACAAATAATTTAGATAAATAAACAAAAGAAGCTAATGAGACTTTAATTTAGTAATTTTGAAATTAGAAGGAAAGTTCATTAATGAATTTAATATGTATTATTATTATATTTAAATATTATGTGAAATTTAATAAAATAGAAAAACCATAAAATGACATGTGGAAAAAACCAGGTGGTATAATGCATTAGAAGATAACAAGTGCCAAAATTATTTTTATTTATTAGGGAGGATATATATATATATATATATATATATATATATATATATATATATATATATATATATATATAAATGAGAACAATTCTCAGCCACTCATTTATATTTAGTATTTTAATTTTTATTTATTTATATTTATAATTTACTAATTAGATAAGTAAAAAATATCATACCCCACCATCCCCCACCCTACCAATATTAGATGTATCTTTTCTCTCGTCTCGTTTTCACGTCGGACCTTTCATGCCGGACCGCCATTGAGACCATCGGACCTTCGCCTTAATATTGAATTTGGATATTGATTGAATTGATTTGATTCAAATTCATGCAATGCCGCTCCTTCTACTCTTGCTCCTGCTCCAGCTACTCTAGCTAAATACACTTTGTTGAAATTGATGGGGCTACTGTCACTCCATTTACCACAATGGAAGTTGTTGTGTCAAAGAACATGATTGAGAGCTTGTCTGTGCAAATATTTTGTGTTGGTTACCCAGTTATCAATGATGCTCTTGATTCTCTATATGAGAAGGTCAAAATTTGTGTTACCTATTTCTTTCTTTCTGAAATCTAAATATCTATCATGCTCATACTAATTTCACTATTGAATCTTATATATATAGAGTTGTATTGAATGTGTTCATTATTGTAGTAAGATCACTCTAAAGTTTATTGGGGAATTTGATAACAAATTTAGTGAATAGTTAAACTTTACTATTAGACCTACACCATTTTTTCGAGCAAGATGCATAAGAAATTGTGAGTTGCTGAGATATAACTTGTCAAACTTCAATCTTGATTCAAGATTGTCGAATTCATGGACTCGTAGTTGCTTTACAATGTTCTATTTTATTTTCTGTTATAAGTCTATAAATCTAACACGCGTCTACTACTTTGACTTGTTATATGTTCTTGAGAATAAAGCAAAGAAATGTGAACCAGATTGTCGCAAATCATGCTTTAGATCCTAATGAGTTATTATACTCATACTAATCACATACTCAAATGAATTGATTGAACTATGATATTCTTGAATTTAACTTGTTTGTTGGTGGATGGATGATTGATATTTCAGTTAAGTCCAAGCATGTTACCATAAGTGCTTAGCTAGCAAAAGCTACTGCCATGGCCCTTATTCAACATCCCGTGCTCAGTTCAAGTAACAAAAATGGAAAGAGTTTTACTTATAACAATATAATCAATATTACAGCAGCTGTGGCTATCAATGGTGGTTTAATCACCCCTATTCTCCAGGATGCTAACAAGGTATGCATGGACCTTAAGTGTTTTCATTCCCTGCAACCATGGAACCCATTGACATGGATCCCTCATTTTGTTGCTTTGTTGTGGTTGTATCTTTATCTATTATCCTAAAAAATGGAAGGAGCTTTTGAAGAAAGAAAGATACAAGTAACTTCAGCCCCATGAGTACAACTCAGGTGACCACTATAAGCTTGTAATTATTAATTGTATCTTGTTTCTTTACAAGATTTTATTGATGAAATAGTATTTACTTATGCGATTTTGGTTGCAGGGACTTTTACTCTTTCAAACTTAGGCATGTTTGGAGTGGATCCATTTGATGCAATTCTTCCTCGTGAGCAGTCATGTGTTAAATATAACTTGATTATAGTCATTTTCTGGAGACTAAATGTTTTCCTACACTTCATATTTTAAGAATTTAGAAGTTTGTTAACTAAATTCAATGAGGAATGTAAAGGTGTTAAAAAGGAATAGGTTAGAAAATCACTTTAAATTCAATGTGTGCAGGTCATTTTCAGCAAAAATATTGTCAAATATTGTATACACGTCAATTTTAGCATTACACCATTTTTTTACATCAAAAAAATTCGATGTGCACAGGTCATATTTATGCTTTTTTTGTATAACCTTTTATCCATTCTATTTTCCCCTCGATTAGTATTTATATTTTATAGGTTATATCATACCAAATTCAATATGTACAACTCATTTTTAGAATCAGACCAAATTCGATTTGTACAAGACATTTTTAGCCTTATTAGTAGGGGTGAGCGTAGGCGGATACCCATCCTAATTGTTTGGAATCAGAATCGACGGTTCCAAAATGTTGGGAATTGCTAAGCTATAGTCACCTCTCCAATACATAATCTATTAGTAGCAAATTTTATGGTATAAAATTTTTAGTTATGGGTTTGAGGACAAACCCAATCAAAGTATTTGACCTAAGCTATAGTCGTAATTCCTAAAGAAATACTAAGTCACTATTCTTGGGGAAATACTAATTCACTATAGCTAAACCTATGCTCTGATACCATCTCTGTCACACCCCCTGCCCAGCC